TCATGCCATATTACATCAATCGCAAAACTACGAATAATATATTAGCCATCTATAATTTATTTACTGCGTAATAAATACAAGTCACAAAAGTAATTATAGATATTTATTTTAAATATTTGAAAATAAAAGGCACACAATAAATAAATTAAACATTTACATAAGTAAATAGTAACCTAATGAAATTCTTCATCAAATATTAAATTTACATAATAAAAATACAAAAATGCACATAATAAATAAATAATTGTTGTACGTATAGACTCGATCAATCAAATAATGTTACTTATAACTTTATACAAAACTATTCTTTTGATTATGTACATGAATAATACATAACAATATGGGAAGAACGAATGATCAAAAGGTTTTTTTTTTTTTAAAGTAAAACATCTAAATATGAAGGGTGAATAAATATATTTTATCTATGATAAACATATTAATCCAAAAGGGAGTTTAGATGTCCATTATGGTGAAATTGAAGAGAAAATATCATTAAAAAGTGCAGTTTTATAAATAAAATATTGACATTAACCGTAATTTGAAGTATATATAGTGCTAAATTCACCTTTCACTAGTCATTGCCAATAGGGTTGTTAGTACGTGGGAAAAGATTGTAGCACTTGAATTATATTAGTTTTATAAAAAATTTGATATTTCAAGGTACGTTGAGTGTCACCCATTCACAATGATCTAAAAATTTTATAGTTTATTTTTTAAAGTTCACATGTTACATAATAATTCACTCAAATAAAATTTGGTTTCCTCCATAAATAATACGTGTGCATAGTATACTTTAACATAAACTTTTTAGATGTCAATTTTTTATGTTGTTTACGGTTAAGAACGTACGAGTATTTAAGTAGTGTGTAAAGATTAAAATGGATATACCATCTTTGCAAATATAAAAAAAAGGTGTCATTTTCTACTAAATAGATATTGTTAAAATTATTACATATCAATATGGGTTGGAGATTTCGATGGGAATGAGTATCCATAATATTTTGTTCATCTTTTTTTCCTCTTAAATTCTACGATTTGTAATTAGATTAGAAAAGAGACTCAGACAATTATTTGAACAAAATTGATTTTTCATGAGCCTCCTAATTCTTTAGTTCAATTTCTTCAGCATGATTAATTTATGTTTGAATGATGTTTTCTATAAAAAGAAAAACATTCTTTCACATGCTTTGTATTGCTAATATATTTTAAAAATATATTACAAATATTTAAATTATAATTTTCTTTTATTATAAGATAAATATTAGTGGTAAAATATATTATTTATGGTAATGATGATTATAAGTAACATGTATATACACACATACAAAATGATATAAATTTTTGTTTCTCTTTGTCTTTGGTCTCTATGATATCTCATATGTGCATGTGTATATATTAATGTATAGTCTCGTGAAGATCTCAATAGAAGTCTTATAAAGAGAGAAATACAATTTATGATTTTTTGTTGCTTTCCTTTAAATTGTAGTTATGATAATTTTATTATTTATTTTTGTTTATATCATTGAGAATTTTATTTGAAATATAGTGATATAATAATAATAATAATAAAAACTTTTGATATAACCAATAAGGTCAATAAAGTACTTATTGGATTTTTTATTTTTGATGAAGCATAATAATAATTGTCATAACATTTGTTTGAAGTTATTGAAATTCGTTATTTTGAGATTCTAAAATTATTATTTGGCTCTTATTTTGAATGAAATTAAAAACTTCTATAAATCATGATTTTGGTTGCTCCACAAAAATAAATAGTGTTATGTAATGATCTAAGTATTGTACGAAGTCTCATGCTTTATTATAATATTTTAAATTTTAAATAAAAAAATTATCATTATACTTAACAAAAATTGTGACTTAACGTCGTATTAGAAGTTAATGATCTTAATCTAATTTGTTGGTACATGTCTCTATTATAATTATTGTTTGTTTTGTATTTTCTAATTGTTTCTACTTTGTCGATTGAGAGTTTATCTTTTTCGACATTTTATTCTATTTATATAAATGAATGTTACTCTTTACCACTCACTATAATAATAAAGGAGTTGCACAAACTATCTTAATTGTCTTAGCTAGTGCTCCACAAGTTTCTGTTGCTAGTCATTTATTCCACTTTAATATGACAATCATATTTATTTTGTGGTGTAGTTGATTTTCACGTTTGTTCTTCAAGATTTTTCATTACTACTAATAATTACATGTGAATTTATATTTGTCAATATAGTAAAATATTCATACCCATGAACACTACCAATTGATTAAAGTGATTTTTAATAAAAAATTCATCAGAGATTTTATTTTTATATAAGAACGAATAATGATCATTTTTTTTTATATTTTATTGACATTAAAATGAGTCAGATTATAAAAAATAATAATAAGATATTAAAAAATAAAAATAAGTCGAAATTAACTTTTTGGTTAATAACTAATAACATAACAATAATAAACAATGAAGTTAACCATTAATATAGCATAACAAATGATGCGATATTAATATTGTAATTATAAGTAAAATAATTTTAGAATATTATAATTATTAGTAAAAAAATTATTTTATAATCGTTATCATTAAAATAATTTTGTCTTACTGTCATACAAAATGATACCAAAAATATTTTAATTGTTAATTTTATTATTATTATAACTATATTTACATACTATTGAATAATAATACAAAATTAGTACATTTTTTAATATATTATAATCAAACTTTTAACATATAATATAATGTTCAATAAATAATATTCAATTACTCTATATTTAACAGATGATATGTATTACTCTATATCTTAGCATCATTTTAAAAAATGTAAAAAAAAAAAAAAAAAAGAAAAATCTGCCCAAGACATCATAAAAATATAACTTTTAGGAGGAAAAAATCAGTTTTTTGGTAAAGGAAAAAAAACAAAAACAAAAAATTGGACCCAAAGGCCGATGAGTAGCTAACCAAACCCCAGTTTTTAGTTTGGGGTCACGTGTGTACGGCGACGTTTCATCGGACCCTTGCTGCCTCATCTCCCCGACAGCGGCCCGGCGCGTACCTTTTAACTCACCATTCTTTAGGCACAACACATCTATGCCCCAGCCTAGTTTTACAGTTGCATTTCCTTCTATTTATTTATATATTTATTTATTTTTAAAACTTCTCTTTCTCTCTCTAAAACGCTCCCTCTCGTTCTCTCTCTAACGTTTCACTCTCTCTCATTTATCCATTCTCTGGTTCGCCGACAACCGCCAAATCTCTGCAATTTCAACTATCTCCTCTCTCCTACCATCCATTTCTCCCTCAGGTACACGCCACACTCTCCCCTATGTAGATATTTATTTGTGTTCTTCAACCTTTATGTGTTTCTGTTCATTCTGCATCTTTCTTTTGTCATTTTGGATAATTGCATCTGAGCATCTCCTGTTTCCAGTTTGCTTCATTTTCCTGTTTTCGTTTATTCGATCGGTTTGTTCGTCTCATGTTTTTGTATTTTCTGTTCGTTTCTTGCTTGAGGATTTCTGTTTTAGCTTTTGTCTTTTAGGTAGGGTTAGGTAAATATTTTCTATCTTCTGATTTTTTTTTTTGTTTGGATGGTTGTGTGTGTGCATACGTCGACGCGATGTATATATGTGTATGTTTTCGAGGTTCCATTGTTGATCGATTAGGTTTATTTGGGTTGGTAGGTAAAGAAAGGGGAGAAACTTAATTT